TTACATGTTTCCCAATCCGCATAATGAGCGATGTTTGAAATGCTTACCTTCTGTCTCCTAAGACATAACAAATGCTCTAGAGAAAATTTGGGGCATATGTGAAATATTTAGGCTGCAAACAAGTGTTAACATTTTCTGAGTGGGTTGGGAAATATGAAAGCATTCTTTTTGTCCTGAGTGCCTGTTTGCATTCCCCCCCCCTCCCATTGCAGACAAACAGATTTTATGGATTTTTTAAAAAAACTAAGTGCTTTGTTTTTACCTTGCTTCAACTAAGTCACATTTTCACATCAATTTCCTTGTAAATTTAGCTTGTTCACTGTAGGGAATAGTTTTACTTAATAGGAATGGTATTCATTTCCTTCCATTCTCTGTGTAGAGAAGGAAAGTTAGAAATGCTGAGGAAATAAATCAACACAGGATTGTCACATGGTAGTCTCCCTGTTCATCCAGAGTGGCTTAATCTCATAAATAGGTATTATTATCTACCATCATATAAGCATGCAAACATCTGGAGGGAGAGATCTATACTGTTGGATAATCTATTATCTCACGAGGCAATAATATGTGCTTAGTACTCAGAAGTGAAAAAAGAGTTTATTCAGTGTTTAGTGTAGACAACTTTTGCACCAAACTGTTTTTAGTTTCTATTTTTGTTTTGCCTTAGAATAAATTTTGAATCTGACCTTGGAAATCCGCTTTTCTTATTTATCTTACTTTGGGGTTCAGTTAATATTTTGCTCGTAGATTGATTCTGAATTCTGTAGGTCAGGTTTTGATGCATACCACTGAACAAGCCTTGCAGTGCAATCCTATGCAGAATTATTCAAGTCTACACCCATCAGTTTCAGTGAGCTAGACTAGAGTAGCTCTACATTGGATTGCTCTGCTAGTATCTTACATGGGGTGGATCCAACAGGGTTTTTCTGTGGATGGAAGGATTTCCATAATATACTATCTCTGTGTGTCTACTTAGAAAATAATAGCAAAGAAAGGTGTTGTTGAAGAGTTACACTTGATGTTGGGCTGAATATTGTCAAACTTAATATTATTTACTGGGTTGATACTACTTGCTGAGATACTCAGAAAATCTCAAACCTCTCAGGGTACTAACTATGAATTTAATCTAACGTGGAACCCTTTTGTGTTTTTTTTAGCGAGCATTGCTAGAACAGAAACAGAAAAAAAAACGTCAGGAGCCACTGATGGTTCAGTCCAATGTGGACAGTCGCACAAGAACACGCAGAATGAAACAGTCAGAAGAACAAGCACCACTAGTGGAAACTTACCTCAACAGCAACAGCAACACCATTTATCATGGTATACAAACATCATTCATATTCTGCGGGTTGACTGCAAAATAAGCTAACTGTAATTTTAGTTTTAAAGAAACTGATTTAAAATGAACACCAGCTTTGAAAATTCCCAGTATTAAGTTATTTGAATATTTGTCTATGTTCCAACTGCTATATAGTTGCCATACGTTTCAGTCTCATATTTTATTTCAATATTTCATCAAAGAGCATTTTGATCATTCCTCTCACACTAGATGAGGGTAGGGAGAGCTACTAAGGAAATAACTCTTTGACAGTCTTTCTAAAGTTATTTATTATTTGTGGGTTTTTCCCCATTAGGTTGTAGGAATGTATTGCAGTTTTTTCTCTTTTTTAAGCAATGAACTTCTAGGCAAAAACTTAAAAATGCTACTTTTTCATAAGATGAAAGAAGACACATGTCAACAGAATCTACGTTTCGTTTCTATACTCTGTGGAGAGTTGACTGTACATAAAAAGTTTCAGTCCTTTTGCCCTCAGTCATGGTAGTTAATATTTATTTTATGGAATTATTTTTTTTTTTAATAAAAATGTACTCTTAGTGTTTAAATGTCAGTCTGAATAGATCTTACTTCACGATACACATTAACAATTGTTCTCAAACTCTTAAGCTAAGCAATGAATGGGAAGTCTTTATTTCTTTTTATCAAGCATAGTATGTACCCTTTTTGCAATATCATCAATCCCAAATAATCCTTTTGAGGTCAGTGGATATTGTCTGTTAAGGGCATAAGAAGAGAACTGGAGGATCAGACTAATGGTCTATCTAGTCCAGCATCTTGTCTCACAAAGTGGCCAACCAGTTCCTGTTGAGGTTAGTGGATATTTGCCTATTAAAAACATCAGAAGAGCCCTGCTGGATCTGACCAGTGGGTCACTTAGGCCAGCATCCTGTCTCACATAGCAGCCAACCAGTTCCTGTGGAGGGCCAACAACAGGGCATAAAAGCCGAGGCCTTCCTCCTGACTCCTGCTTTGGCCCCTTAGTCGCCACACATGGCCCTCATTTGCCATCCCACCCTCACTCCAAAGTTCTATTATGCGTCTATCAGTATTACCCTGAGGGTTTATACAATCATCCCTTTGGACTGACTAGTCCCAAACTGCAGGCTCTCTAGCTTCTGTCGACTTTCCCCCTGGGCAGTTCCTGTGGAGGGCCAACAACATGGCATAAAAGCCGAGGCCTTCCTCCTGACTCCTGCTTTGGCCCCTTAGTCACCACACATGGCCCTCATTTGCCATCCCACCCTCACTCCAAAGTTCTATTATGCGTCTATCAGTATTACCCTGAGGGTTTATACAATCATCCCTTTGGACTGACTAGTCCCAAACTGCAGGCTCTCTAGCTTCTGTCGACTTTCCCCCTGGGATTAGTTTAAAAGCTGCTCTGCCATCTTTTAAATATTAATCGCAAGCAGTCTGGTTCCCTTTTGGTTCAAGTGAAGCCTCTTTCTTTTGTACAGGTTCGCCTTGTCCCAGAAAGTTTCCCAGTGCCTCACAAATCTAATCACTTCCTCTTGGCACCATTTTCTCATCCATGCATTGAGGCCCCTGATCTGTACCTGTCTAGTTGGCCCTGTGTGTGGAACCAGCAGCTCTTTTGAGAATGCTACCTTTGAGGTCCTGGCCTTTAACGTTCTGCCTAGTAACCTATTTTTTTTCCTCCAGGACCACATGACTACATTTCCCAATATCATTGGTGCCAATGGGCACCATGATGTCTGACTCCTCCCCAACAATTATTAAGCTATCTAGATATCATGTGATGTTTGCAGCCTTTGCATCAGGCAGGCAATTCACCATGTGGTCAAAACACCTGTCATAGACCTCACTTTCTATATTCCTAATGATTGAATCACCTACCCTGTTTTCCCAAAAATAAGAGTGTCTTATGTTAATTTTTGCTCCCAAAGATGCGCTAGGTCTTATTTTGGGGGGAAGTCTTATTTTTCCATGAAGAAGTATGTTGGTCCATTGCTCAAGGAAGAGGTCTAAGGGATCACATCCCTCCTCCTCAGACTGATGTCCTCTGATCTTGAGACTCTCACTCTCCACAAAAGCTGAAGAGCTGACAGCACAGGGACTTCTTGTAAGTCCCTGAGGGTTTCTTCCTCCAAACCTCTCTTTCTGCTTCAGCTTCTCCAGGTTGGCAATCCTAGCCTCAGTGGAACAAACTTGTTCCCTGAGAGCAGGGGTCATTTCATAGAAAAAGAGGTGCAGGAGCTCATTATCATAACTTATTTGCATATGCCACACCCCCTGACATCACCGGAAGTGTGTCAGAAGGCAACACCCACCGCTCAGGCTCCACTGGACAGTTCTGGATTCCTAGCTATGGGGGTGGGGGAGAGATGTGCAGATCTGTCCTCGCAGAGGAGGGAGAGCTTGTACCTGAATAAAACTTGGTCTTAAAGGTGCCACTGGACTGTTTTAGACACAGGGGCCAGGCGAGCTCTGCAACTGACCTGGCTGCTTCTTGCTCTGACTGAGGGCTGCTGGGAGCAGGGGACAAGGCTTGTTGCATGTGCCCACCCCCTGTCATTTCGTAGAAAAAGAGGTGCAGGAGCTCATTATCACAACTCATTAGCATAACTTATTTGCAAATGTCACACCCCCTGACATCACTGGACGTGGGTCAGAAGGCAACACCCACCACTCAGGCTCCACTGGACTGTTTTGGATTGCTAGCTATTGGGAGGAGGACGTGCAGATCTGCCCTCACAGAGAAGGGAGAGCTTGTACCTGAAGGCAGGCTGGGGGGGGGGCTCTGCAAATTACCTGGCTACTTCTTGCTCCCCATGGCCCGACTGAGGGCTGCTGGGAGCAGGGGGTGGGGCTTGTTGCACGTGCCTGCCCCCTGAGCTCCTTCTGCCGGAGCTCTGCTCCTGTGCGCTCATGCAGGAAATGACCCCTGCCTGAGAGCCAAATGCTTCATGCAGTGAGCACGTACCCATGATTTCTACATAGCTGGTAGATAATCACACATGTGGTACTCTCTGCAAAACACTGAAGAGCCCCTGCTGGCTTTCTGCCTTCGTAACTATTTAGTCGTTTGAAGGTATCTTTAGAGTGAAAAGGGTGCTTACCTGACCTAGTGCGGATTTCTGTAGCAGAAAGGATATAGCAGCACACCATCCTCCTTGTTGATGTGGAACTTGTATGTCCCTGCTCAGGAAACGGAGACTAGAGTTCTGCTACCCCTTGACCTCCAGCACTGAACTCCCAAGCTCAAGTCTCCTGTTAGAAGCAACGTGAGCAAGCCCCAAAGGGATCCTGTGTGCCTTTTACAGGCCCAACCCTCTGATGAGCTAATAAGCTGTGCTTTATGTCTATGGATGGGCATGAACCCGGAAAATGCGGTTCAGTTCATAACTTGTGGCATGCCTAGTTTGTGAGCCACAAACCAATTCGTGGCATGCCTAGTTTGTGAGCCACAAACCGTCATAAACTTTTAGGCGCCAAACTAACCGTTTTGGTTCATGAGGTTCATGCAGTAGAATAAACCCTCCCCCAGCATGCTAGAGACACCAGACTCACAGGGGATTCTCTGGCTGGCACTCCTCTGCTTGCCCTCCATGTTTGGTGAGGATTGGCTTTACAGGGTCTGAGTTACAGTCCCCCAAAGAATGTGCCCCCAGGAAAGTGCTTTCTGGGCCAATAACAGGCACAGGTTCATGAGGCTCAGGAGTGTATAGAATGTACCCTGTGCAAGCCAGAGACATCAAACTCACAGTGGACCTCCCCCGATGGTCCTCTACATGCCTCTTAAGTTATTTGCAGATTGGATTTAAGGAGTCCAAGTTATGCCCCCCCCCCAAAAAAAGATGCCGTCAGGAAAGTGCTTTTAGGGGAAATGTCAGGCTCTGGTTCAAAAGTGTATGGAATGGACCCCCTGCAAGTTACACACACCAAACACACAGGGACCCTCACCTTTATATTATATACATTAAGTTTTTATTGTTGGCCCTCTATTCTGTTTGACTTACCTCTTTAGGTTCTGGTTCCCAGATTTCAGGGTTAAGTCCCCACCCCCCTTTTGTCCCTAGCTTGGGGATAACAAACTATTTCTCTTTGTCTTGCAGAAACTCTCAAAGTTAGAGCTATTTCAGCAAAAGTGACTACTTGCTGCAGAGTTAGCCATTGTATTATGGTGGAAATTATGATGTAGGTGCCTATCTGTCAGCTGCCAGTCAGGATTAATCATGGTCATGGAAGAAATTTTACATTTTCCCTTTAAATGCTATATGAGTGTAAAATATAGCTATACCTTATGTTACTTATTCTAAATAGATGCATAAGAACCTGGCTATCAATACGTACTTCTCATTCTGCCTGGAATATCTCACTAGAGATTTTATTATTTTAAAAATAAGCATTTAAATGAGGTCGAACATCCACTGTCATGATATCTAGCAAGTGGCTGAATAGTTGTTGTTGTTTTTCAAATCCATTAGGGCTCGTTCACAGTTTTGCCCCACTGTGCTCATGGGGGAAACCATAATTCCAAATTGAGCTATTCATGGAGACAGCTGCAAGCCATTTCCCCAATAGCACTATGTCACCATGTTGTTTCCAGCCATCAGGTATAGTTGCGGTTGTGTGTCACCTAAGAAAGGTTGTGCGGTTGCTTGCCTACAAAAGAAACCGCCTTCGTATACTATTTATTCAAAACATTTTAAGCTAACAAAGGGTTCCCAAGGCCACTCACAACACATTAAAGCAACACATTAAAAATTAAAAGCAATTAAAAAAAATACGTAAACACTTGAATGGGAGGAATGATCATTGAGAATCAGTGGGAGAGTGCCAGACAAAACAAAAAAATGCTTCACCTGCTGTCAAAAGGCAATAATAGGAGGGGACAGACAGATTTTCCAGGGAGGGAATTCTATAATTTTGGTGTCACCAGGAAGGCTCTTTCTCAGGTTGCAACACATCTAGCATCAGATGGCGGGGGCAGCTGAAGCAGGGCCTCCAGAGATGGTTC